GTGTTTGTGTTTTCTGTGTTTGTGTCCCTTCATCCACCAGGAGGCGCCTGGTTCTGGTCCGCCTCCTCACACACCTGCTGATGGTTACTTCGTTAACGGAGTGTTCTTATGCTGCTGACTGCCACTACCTCGACGCCAGAGTGTTTGCCAGTTTCGGGTACTCTAGCCAAGCTGAGTTTTGCTGAGTCAAACTGAGTTTTTGTCAACCTGAGTTTAACTTTTTTTTTTTGTCTTTGCCTCTCGGCAGGAAGCCATCCTGCAAACTGGATTTCTCGGACCTTCTCTCCCTGGAAGGATCAACTGAGCTTCACTCTGAGCTGGGGTTCAAACAGGAGGTTTGGATCCACTTTCCCTCAAGAGATCGTTTGAGCTTCTCACTGAGAAAGGGATTGTTCTCCACTATGAGCCGTTCAAGTACAGCAGAAAATCTGAGTGGCAGAGTCAGTTTCTCCGTTCACCAACTAACAACCGCATTCTGGGTAACCCTGTTTCGCCCTCCACCGAATCAGACAAACACTGGAACCACGGCACACAGACAGGAGTCAAGGATTCAACAACTTCTCTGGAAACATGAGTCGGCAACCAAATCCTCTTCTCCAAGTTCACGAGTCAAATTCCCCACTGAGCCTGAACTAACCGCTGTGTCTTCCCCTCACTTTACAGTTCCGGTTGAGCAGTGTTCAGAGCAACACTTCTCCCTCTGTTTAACTTCTTCAATAAAACCAGCTAAACCTTTTCCCTGGTCTCTTTGTTTGGTTTTCTGCATTTGGGTCTGAACTTTGTAACATCATGACATTAGTGTATAAAATATGACAATGTTAGGGACTGTTTGGTTGCTAAAATTGATAGGCTATAATATTTCAGAAGCAATACTGATACCTAATACCTAAAACAGAGGACTTTTAGGTATGGGTTAAATGAAAAAACAAATTTTCCACAAAATAAAATAATAGATAAATACAGAAGACAAATATAGAAAAATAACAGAAATTACCATGGACTGTATCCAGCAATCTTTTGTAGGGGAGCTCCAGACAGCAATTATGTCTCACAACGAGAACCAAATCTAATATCTCTATACAGGAATTTATCCAGAGAATAATAATATATCCAGTTGGATAAGCTGGATTCCCTGACTCTTTGCCCTCTTTTAGTGACCTCCTTCACCTGTGACCCTCCATCATTCTTCCTTCCTCCAATCTCATATTTTTTTCTGACTTCTCATCTTCACCTTTTGGCATAGAAACTATAAATGTCTCAATTTTTAAATTTCCTTTTAAACTACTATGTAAAAACATTAATATGTGGAAAGATTATCCCTCTTATTATGGCATGAAGTCTAACCATATGAGCCCAGAGATTATTTCTCACATTCACACAGGCCAAACAAGCAGTTCTATTTATTAATGCTTTTTTAAATGACATTATTTTTATATTGTATATGATATAAAACATATTTTTGAAGCATATATTACATATTTTTTTTTAAATATAAATGTATATTTTATTTGAAGGCTGTAAGGGGCTTTTTGGCAAACAGTGCATTAGTCATTATAGGTATATTACAGGCAGTTGAGGGGCTCTTTAACAGAGGGGCAGTTCCCCCCTTTACCCCCCTGTGGACCCGCCGTTTCTAACAGTATATTTGGCCACTTGAATGAACTCTACGGCCTTCATGTTCTTTCCTCATTTATATTTAGCTACAAATATGTGGACATTTTTATCACATATTAGGTTACAATTTCATCCTAACACCATTCAAATATAGATCAGAGTATATTCATTTAGAATAAAATGGCCTAGTCAAATTCCAATGAAGAATGCCGAACATTTTTTACTTTTCTGTTCTAAAATAGTCAACATATACTACAGAAGAGGTTTGCACAGCAGCAATAAAAACCCAGCCCCCTGTTTAGTAACATTTCAGGGTATTTGTTGAGTCATGCTGAGCAACAGTGTTTTTGTGCTTCATGCTGGTGTTGCTGGAAGAGGCTTACACAAAGAGCAGGAAAATGTTTCTCCATTGGGTTTTTAAACACCATCCTCTGGGAAGCCTTTTTAGCAGTTATCCCTCAGCGCAGCACAAAGGGGGATTGAATGAGAGAACCAGTCTCCCCTCCTGGAGAGGTTAATAAATCAGGATGTTTAGGATCTTGGATCTGCTGCCATGTAACCACAGGAAGAAAAGAAGCGCAACGTGTTCACTTTTTCTACAATGATTTATCGGTTATCTTGTTTGGGTTCCTGTTGATGGAACTACGTCAGTAGCTATTTCCATAGATCCCAACTCAGAGAGCAGAGAGGTGAAGGACGTATAGTAAAGTTTATTATCAGCAAAAGGTTATGGGTCAGATCATGGTGCCTCAGTGGAGGCTTGATAACCTTTGCATCTGTTCACAAACAACTTTTAGGTGTTGATGAAAGCATGTGTAAATATACATTTATAATTCATTTATAAATGTATGATATAACACAAAAGTATATATATATATATATATATATATTTAAATTTGAAATGCCTCATAAAAAAAGGGTAACCCCACATTTCAGAACTAAATATTGATCCCAATTCCTTAGCTCCTCTTTGTCTCCTTCTTTAGGAGGGGGAAGCAGGAAGGAGGAGCTGTGGATTGGCTGTGAACTTGTCCCCCCCTCCCCATTAGAAACACACTGTCTCTCCTCCTCTGCATCACTCCCTCTCTTTTGGCTATCCATCCTTATCCCCACCCTAACCCCGACGAACCTCCCTCCCCTTCTAGCTATGTCTGCAAGCGTTCCCATGGCAACTGTCGCACTGCCTGCCTAGCAACAAGCTTTATCCTTTCCTTGGAAAAAAAAAATGAGGGGGGGTAAACAGAGTAAGCATAAGAGGGGGATGTGGGGGTTGCAGTTTTTTTTTTTTTTTTTTTTGATTTGGGTGTGTGAGGAAGGTAGTGTAAGAGCAGCATGTTGCAGTGGATCCATGAAATCACTCCCTTCTTCTTTCAGTTCCACACCTGCAATGCCTGCAGCCTTTTCTTGGTTTCCTTTGAGTTAAATTATACTCAGCTTTGGAAAAGAAACAAATTACAGCTTTTATCTGCCATTCCTTTTGCCCTTAGCATCCCGAAACATATTTAAAAACATCAGACAAAGCTTTTTTTCAATCATTAAAAAAATAACAACTCATTAAAGTGAACAATTTTCTGCAAAAAGCATCTGAACAACATCAAAACATTTGTGCATGCAGTTTTTCATTATGTTGCTGTGCATTTTCTGCATTACTAGATACATACACACACACACATACATATATACATATATATATATATAAACTGCAATTATCATGATGATGTCACCATATGTTGCAAGGGAACTTTTCTACTCTAAAATGCATTACATTGTTATATTGCGACTCAGGTGTTGGTCCACTGCTGTCACACTGCAGGGAAAATCATTGCTGCCCTCTGCTGATGACCTTGTAGAGCCTTTTTCCTCTTCACCCTGTTTAAGTTAAGATGGTGTGCATTCTTGTATTTCTTATCCAGGAATCTGTTCTCTCATTAAACAAAAACAGATGAGTTGTTCTTGTAGGATTGTGCAAAAATGTTAAGTCTGGAAAAACTTTCCCACCCAGCATTTTTCTTTTACCCGTCCAAAAATTCTCCTCCAGCTGGTATCAATAAATCTCTTATGTTCTGAAGCTCTAATATGACGGCTGAGTAAGAGCAGACATTCATTCTGTCTCTGTCTGGTTGGCAGTCGGCCCGAATCACCTCCTGCAGAGACTACAGGAGAAACTTGCCAAGTGTGCACCCTCTACTCACTTCCTGCGCTCGTCAGCACTTGTCTGCTGGATCTTTACCTTCCTCTTAAAAAAGAAAACCTAATCACAGAGCACCCTTTTTAGTTTTTTTTTTTCCCTTTATAAAGGGGATCAATGAGCAAGAGGTGAATTCAAACTTGGAAACAGATAAACAAAACTAAGGATACCTTTACACACATGCACATGGAGAACCTTAAAATTACACCATCCAATCTAGAAATAGGATGTCGTGCAGCAGAAATCTAAATAATATCTTATTCTTATCTTATATTTCTAGTATGTTACTTGTAATTAATTCACAATTGTGACACAAAATATGGGAAATTTATTTATTGTTGTTGAATATGAAAAAAACACAGAAACACAGTCAAGAATTGATTATTGTCACTTCAGATGACAAATGGTAACAAAGAAATTGGTAAAAAAACAAAAAAAACAACAAAAAATACATAACAAAACTGCACCAGATGTGGTGTTTGTTGTAAAAGGAACAATCCAAACACACCTGGTGAAAAACATAGTAAACTTCAGATCCTGCGAGTGATGTTTATGTTTTTACTAGTTAGTGATGTCATTCCTGGGTGGGTCAATCTCAGCATTTGAAATCTATGAAAAATAAAACCCCTTCATTTCTTTATTCATGCTGGGAGCATCCGGTGACAATGTGAGCCTCTTATTGCCATGTCAGTTTTGTGATGTGTGTGTTATTTGACGTCACAGTGCGTGGAATACACATATTTCACTTGTTATACACATATAAGACACGTATCTATGAGTGAAATAGATAGAAGGTGAGATCACAGCAGGATATTGTTAAACAGAAGACAATATGAGTGTTGAAAGCAGCAATATATTAGGCTCTGGGTGAGTTCACCAGTTTGCACCAATGTTTCGTCCTGTCTGACATTTCATAGAAAAGAAAAGGGTACCTAAATTATTTCACCAAGAATGATAATAGTTTGTTTGTTTTTTATTGCATGCAGTTAAGTTTTTAGGTTTAGGACTTCTGACCTAACCTAAGCAACTTCCTGCTGGTAGAGAGCATAGCCATGTTTTCTTTTGGTTAAAAATGGAACAATATCTTAAATCTTTAAGCAGAGAAGTCTGGTGCAAAACATCCACATTGTGATCACAAATAAACAGAGTCGGTGCAAAACATCTTGCCAACATCTTGTTTTGATTAGAATTTTTTTTCCCAGGTATGAAATGACTTAAACGGCAACAGTACAGAGGGGTGACGGGACCGAATGACCAACACCCAGGACATTAAAAAGGACAAACAACTTTTTTTTGTTTTGTTTTTACAATAAAAGTCTTTCTGAACAGTAGAAGATTGTATTGCTGTTTTTCAGTCTGTGCTAGAAATCCTTAAGTCCAGGCATTAGCACGTATCATCTACCAGCATTGGTCATCAGTTGATTTTGGACATGAGCTGCTCTGTGAAAAGCTTCTTCAGCTGAGCCACCTCTTCAGAGAGGGAGCTGAGTTGAGACTTCAGGTAAGTGTTTTCATGTTGATACAGGACTTCGTTTTGTCCGGGCGTGAGAGGAGCCTGGAGGTTACAGCCGGTGGTATTAGGAGGAGTCTGTCTCTCCCTTCTACATTCCTCCCCCTCTAGTTGCTGAACCCAGGAGCCAGAAAAATGCCCTGCTGCCGCCTCACCCCCATTCAGTCCTTTGCTGGTCTCCCGAGGACCTTCCCGGCTCACGGTGGAGATGGATGGACTGCGCCTGGCGCTGTCGCACACCACGTCAAGACCCTCGCCGCTCCCAGGAATCTTGAAACGTAGCTTGTGAGGAAGGTTCTTCATTGCTTCCGCTTGGTCGTGCTTGCCAACACTGGGGGCAGCAGGGTGGTGGACTTCAGCAGGTGAATGCTGGAGGTCATAGCTCAACTCTTCTGCCCGATGTGGGGAGAATTTCCCATGATCACCAAAGCGGTCCTCAAAAAAGATTGGGCTGCCCACACTGGACCCACCTGGGGTAGAAAACCCAGAGTCCTCTGACAGATTTCCGCCCTCCCTACAGCCCCTGGTGCTTGTCTGGCCAAAGGGGTTGCTGGGATGTGGTGCTGGGGAGCTTTGAGGGCCTGGATCCCCTCTGTGGGGATAATATTGAGGAGTCAGATTTGGAACATTGTGCTTAGTAGCTCCAGCAAGTGGTAGAATTTGTGTGCTGGAGGGATCTTTAATCAGACCAAAGCGGAACTTGAGAGCCAGCAGCTCTGCCCTGAGCCGGGCATTCTCCTCCAGCAGGGCAAGCACCCGGCTCTCCAGGACCATGTCGTTGACCCGCCGCTTCTCCCGAGAACGTTTGGCCGCCTCGTTGTTCTTCCTTCTTTTGTCCCAGTAGCTGTCGTCCTTTTTGTCCTGGGGGATGAACTCGCGCTTGCGTCGGGCAGAGGCAGCCGGGCTCTCTTTACGCTTGACGGCTGAGGTGCGACCCAGCAGAGAGCGAGCCAGCAGGTTGCTGGAGGTCAGTATGGACACAGTTTCATCAGTGAAGGACAGAGAACCCTCAACTCCACTAGACGCCGCCCCAACAGGCGACTCCACGGCGCGCAGGACGGACAGCTCCTGCTGGCCTCTCATACCCTGAGACTCCTCTTCAAACATCATGCCAGGTACTGACTGAAGGACAGTTAAAAGCTGAATGGAGCGCAGTGAATTCTCAGGAACTCTTATAGTGGATATTTGTTGCAACACTGCCACCTGGTGGTGAAAAGAGAATGATTATGCACGTTATGCAAGAGTCATTACAACACAATATTATGTAACCCCATCACATCTCTCAAATAAAACAGGAGCATCTTGTACTGCCTTCTTACAAGCTTCATTCCATGTTTAATATGAGACAACAAAGACTGAACACTTAGAGCTGATCACCCCTAAAGGACTTACTTAAAGGAACATATGAAAACCTGCACATTTTAATAAATCTACTTTTATAATCTCATTCCTCCCAAACTTTAGAAATATCTCAATGAATTGTGACATATTTATTTTAGTATAAATGTAATCTGGGTTAATTGCTATCTTTAATGGGTTAGGATCACGTAATTGCTGATTGGGTTTCCGGTCAGACATGCCTTACCAGCAGTGACCCACATGTCTAAATAACTGGAACATACCGATCCCATGTTGCTCATATCTAACTGACCTGCATCTGTTTCCCTGCCTCATGGTGGGAGGCTGACACATTTAACTGATTTAATTCATCATCAGACTTTTAACTTTTAAAAACAATATGGAAAATAATAAAAATGATTCAATAATGTTAAATCGTTAATATAAATAAATAGCGGCACCTTACCTGGTTTAAATGTTTAGTCCTCTGTGAATAATTTCCTAATTATTCATATCTTTTTCCCAGTCAGAAAGAAGCAGCTTCATATCCTCCTCGCTCTCTGGTTAAATAGGGCAGCTTCTCACTCTTACTTAATATTATTATTCATCAGCATGGAGCGCCTCCACTCTGCTCCACTTGGAATGCCGCAGCTCCTATTTGTAACTAGGAGTTCAGTCCGGGTCGGTGCTTATCCTCGCCTGAACACACCTCAGTGTGTGTGTGTTTAGGGCCCGCCTCCACCGCGGACCCCCAGCCCCCCCCCCCCCCCCCCCCCCTCCCCTCTGTCCTATCGTCGCTCACAGTTCCTCTCCCTCATCTCCACCATCATCGCCCTCGTCATCCCTTCTCACACGCCACGCCCACTCGGTCAGGACTATCCTGTCGTAACAGTTAGATAATTTAGCACCTCTCTCTAAGGATTTGTGTCAGATGCGGAAACGAAGTCAGACATTTTTTTTTTTTTTTTTTTAGATCTTTTTAGATCTTTTAGTAGAAGTATGGAGCCTATTTTGTCCCAGTTTTTTTTTACAAGCAAAGAATATATATATTTTTTTGTGAATGGAAATTTAAAAAAAGAAAAAAATCCTAAATATAGGTCAATCTAATTTTGATTTTCTTTTTTCAAAAGAGCATTTCTTCAATTCAAACCAAACAGCACTTGAGGTGCACATTTAAAATGTTGGCATAGGCAGTTCTAGACAGGAGCAGAGGCGTAGCCAGAAAATTTTAATAAGGGTGCCCAGGCAATAACCAATCTACACTGAGGGGTGGTCAAAAGTAGATAGGCACCAAAACTTTAGGGTCAATCTCAACTGTTCCAACAGCAAAACCTCCATATTTTCTAAATAAAGACAAACTATACTTTCCCACAGCCTTTGCAAACAAATAGAGGAATATATTCAAATATCCGTGCTTTCTATAGTAGATAAAATTCTTTCAGGTTTGAGTTTTGGGCGAACATCTTTTCATTGTCATTCATTGTCATTACTTACCTACTTTTATCAGTAATTATTTGGCATAAAATTAATATTTACAAGTACTAATATCTACATAAATTGATCATTTAATATTTTTTTATTAAAATAGTTATTTATCTATGATTTCACTGAAGACTCCCAGATGACTTGCAGAGACACATAATTTTGTCTTTATCCCATAAAACACAAAATCTGTTTCTGTAAAGAGCATGAATTCTGTATTTATCATCATTAATGTTAGTATATTGATGTGCATAACTAACCACAGAGTTTTTGTTGTCAAGTCATTGTTAATATATGAAAAATAAAAATGTTTTGCCACCATCTGTATTAGAGGGAATTAAATGGTAAAACTGAATTCATCAGTTTTTCTTGAGTTCTAATTCAGATTTGATAGAAAACTGTAATTTTTACTTAAATTAAGTCAAAAATATGTAAGATTTTTAAATTATGAATAATAAGACATAGAATTTTAATGAAACCTAATTGAATGGAAATTTCAATTCATGCAGCTATTTGAATCCTTTGCCCTGTTTTTTATTTCATGCTTTTCTGTGCTCCCATGAAAATATGCAGGCCCCCTCCTGGCTCCCTCCTGGCCCCCTGGTACATTTGGTCCGGAACCGCCACTGGTTGTTGCTAACATCCATGGAGACCAAAAGAAATGTCTCAATCTAGAAGAAAGACTTTAAAACACAATACGAAATAGAATGCTATTTGTAAAATTCAATTAGTTAAAGAGTAATTATAAAAATATGATCTAAAAAATGTGTTCAAAATTAGAAAAGTTGAAAATATGAACAAACTTTCAATAAATGCTTAAAAAACAAACTATTATATAATTGTTCTTCCAATTTCCATTTACAAAAAGGTTTTATTTGCTTGCAATCATGGAACAAGATTCACTCCATATAAAGTCTTTTCTTTTTTTGTGTTGAGCTTCTATTCATTTAAAAGCTTTATTTGTGATTTTTAACCAAACTGACCAATAAGTTGTCTAAAAAAAAAAAAAAAAACAGGAAAGAAGTTTGACTCAAACACCACCTGCAAAGGAAATTTAAAACATGAGGATATTTTCCAATATGACTTCGATAACAGGAACTTTGTTACAGAGGAATGATCACTTGGTTACAACATTAAACAATGCAAGGCTTGCATTATCATTTAATGTTGCAGGAGGCTGTGGTGAAATGCTTTTATAAGGTCTGAGCGTCTGAGGCAGCCGCTTGGAGCAGTGCTAGTTACCACACTGGCTGGCACCCCTGGCAATCATATCAAAGGACTTAAAATCCTCAAACTAAAAAAGAGTGCATTTATCTAGTAGGAAAGAAAATATCTCAAATGTCAACTTGTTTTTTTCTTTATGCAAAAGGAACAATTAGTGGTGACACAGTCAAACTGAACAACCTGTTTCTGTCAACAGGACATTCCTTGTGTAACATCACGCAGGCTTAAAGCCTGCAGGGACAGGAATCCTTGATTATTCCGTTCTGCACACTCTCTCTGAATTGACCACAGTCCTCACTGAGTCCTTTCCTGAGGGATTTAGTTTTTTCTTAAAAGTTTCTTCACACCCTTTCTACTTTTACGGCCTTCATAGCAATAGCCTATCCATGCCTAGTCTTATCTAATATAATTATATGGTTTTTGCTGTTTGGTTCCACAGACTGACAACTGGTCCTTTGTGGCGGATTAGATTAAGACTAAGAGATAATCTGCTTGTAATTTGATTTAAATTGGTCTTTTTCTTTTAGGGGGTCGGATGGGGCAATGACACATGAGAGTTTCGACTGAACGCCTGAAGTGACCTTCCTTTTTTCCCCCAGCAAACATTTGTGTGCGAACAGGAGACAGTGAACTGAAGGGACTTTATTTTATCATACTCATGTACTGAGCAAACCTGCTCAGCTTGATAATACGGTATACTTTGAGCCACCTAGGTTTTGTAACAGACACAGAGGCCCCTGGTCACAATCATTGGGACCCCTTTTAGCAAGTTTCTACCAATGCAAAATTTTCCACCTTAAAGCCACAGTTCTTTATTTGCTATAAAGCTTAGTGTACACTAACTGTTTTGGTTAAGAATGTAGAATTATGACAATCTATTTTATGTAAAAGCAGTGATGATGAAAGCAGTTCTTTTAGAGCTGGACTATAATTCAACATGAATTTATACTTCAACATACTTTTATCCAGTTATGGTGATATAATGTTTCAAATTATTTACAACATTTGGACCTTTGGCGTAGCCTATAGTACTATAACATTTGTTTCTGACTGATGTTTAGCTTCAACCGGTACAACCGATTGAAGGCGAGGTCTGTCAGATGAGCATACCCCGTCAGACCAGCATACCCATAGTCAATACCTGTTTATCCCTTTAGTTTTGTTCGAAAAATAAACTTTAAACTATCTCAACAGGTGTGTATCCCTTTAGTCATGTACAAAAAAAACTATCTAATTACTTACTTTTTGGTGTTTTTTGAAGCGTGCATTGATCTCAGCTTAAAGAGATTTTTTTTGTAGATGACTAAAGTGATCATATCCGTTGAGGTAGTTTAAAGTCTATTTTTCGAACAAAACTAAAGGGATAAATGCAAACATGACATCTTGCGTATTGATAATGAGTATGCTGGTATGATGGGGTATGCTGCAACATATTGCCTACATGAGTGATGATGTATATGATAAAGGCTGGGTTAGGTTAAGCTCCAACGCAGTAAGTTTAGCTACTAAAGGAGCATCCATGATAAGGTGACCAGATGCCCCTGGAAATGTCACTGATTTTAGTGTCTAATACATGTGCTGTTGTAGACAGGGGCCAGCAGGGGCCTGTGCCCCAATAGAACTGATCCTGCCTTCTGTTATGGCCCATGTACTGAAAACATAATACTTAAAATAATTCCAACGATGATAGAACAGACATAGTGACTAATAGTGCAATCTGAAAAACTCACACGAAGACAAAAAACAATTAGGAGAAATTTATTGATACAATTAGTTTGTCTTTGGTGCTTAGACCTCGGCAGGAAACATAGCGCTTAATTTTGATAGATATGCATTTTGATTAGAGCAAGGAATAGGGCTTTTTTCCCCCCAGGCCTGAAACTGGTGGTGGAGTGGAGATAGATGGAGTTGGTCAGTCTGTAGACTGCTGGTTAGCTTTATGGGGAGATTCAGTGGACTGCATGAGCTGATACTAGAGCTTCACTCAGGGACCTGGAAGATGGAAGTCCAGTTTGGATAACACAGGTTGAGAGAACCTGTCCATGATGAGCAAGCATGAAGCGACAGTGGAGAGGAAAAACTCCCCGTTGGGAAGAAAACTCTGGCAAAACCAGGCTCAACATGGCGGTCTTCTGTAGAACCTGTTGAGATGAGACAGGGAATACAGTAAGAGTCCAGGAGGAATGACACTCTGATGAAGCTTTAGCTACGAAGGTGGAGGAGGGGATGGAGGTGGGTTGAAACGGTGTCATCTGAATGAAGTCACACAGGAAAATCTGCCGCCTGTGCACAGGAGCAGACAGGTGCATATCGGAGGCCTTTTAAGATGAGCTTTGGATGCCGATTGGCTTTCGTGGAGGTATGGTTCAAGCTGATTGGCTGTGTCGCAGGTGGATGTATGAAAAGCAATGAGTTTCTTCAGTTGAACTTCTGCCTAGGCTCCATTTCCCACGGAACCTATACATTTTTTTCTTTACAATTCTGCTTTTATTATGATTCAAAATTTAAGGCTGTAGCTTCAGTCATATTGAAATAGGATCACAGTTTCCATCTACTAAATGTAATTTTGAACAAAATGAATGAAAAAAATTAAAATTAATATACTACAGCTGAATTGGTCAGTTTTACTTATGATTTGAACAAAACTGATCTTTTTCATCCAAATTAAGGCAAAAATATAAAGGGACCACTGAAAAAACACACCCTGATCTGAATGAATGACATATTCGCATTAAATAAATCTTTGTTTAGTTCAAAGCTGAATGTGCTAAAAACCAAAATGACAGAAAAATCATCAATGGAAATCAAATTTGTTAACCAATGGAGGACTGCATTTGGAGTCACACGTGAAATTAAAGTGGAAAAACACACTACAGGATGATCCAAATTTGATGTAATGTGCTTAAAACAGCTCAGAATGAGGCTCAGTATTGTGTGTGGCCTCCATGTGCCTGTATGACCTCCCTACAACACCTAGGCATGGTACTGATGAGGTGGTGGACGGT